ATATGCTTTCATTCTCCTTTTTTGTTATTTTATCCTCTTTACATATTTAGTATGCTACACATTGGGTTCAGAAGATGGTACACATCTATAATATTAGACATGATTAAGAGGCTTAATCTTAACTCTTGAGATAAATCCCAAGAGCTAATTAGATCAAGCAAAGCAATATTTCACTTAAAAAAAATGATTCATATCTAAATAATACAAATGAATATCTTTAATCATAAAATCTATGAAATGAAATGAAATTTATTGAATAAATATAATTTCTAAAAGTCTTTCATCAAGTGAAAACTAGAACATCAAACCATAAAAGGAAAATAAATCAAATGCATCTACAAAATGAATTCATACCCAATACGAGCATTTAAACAAAGTAGTCTACTGAAGAAATAAATACCAAACCTAAATGATAACTATTTCTAAAAAATTGCTCCTGTCATGACTATTCATCAAACAACCTTACGGAATTTGTTAAAAAAAAAAATAACAACGAATGAGTTTAATAAATAACTCAATAGATAATTTTTACTTATTAAAGCATAAATTAATGACAACATGAGTAATAATGCACATGAAATAATATAACAAGTATCATCATTTCATCATATTAAACTAATGTTACATGAAATGAATTATCAAACCTAAGCTACAATGATTTGCAACATAGTAGAGTTCATAACCTTGCATTTGAAAAATATTAATCATGGCATTTATATGCCAACGCATCCACATGCAGCATATCATGCATATTTATATATTCATAAATAACTCATCAGCCATTTATTATAATATATTTTATATTATAATACCCAAACAATAGGAATGTTTTCTTATACCTAGTGTGTTGATTCTTGTTGAATCTTGAATAGGTTGTGAAACTTAAGCTTATGTCACAAGGCTAATCAAGAGGGGGATGAATTAGTAATTTTAAATTTTCTCTTGAATTTTAAAATTTGAAACCGGTTGATTCAAAAAGCAAGTTAATTAAAGTTTCAAAAATAAAACTTTTCAACCACGGAATTAAAAACTTGCAGTAAGTAAGCAGCAGAAATTTAAACGACATAAAAATTTATAGTGGTTCAATCAAACACGACCTACATCCACTCCCTGAACACTCCCTCTTCAGGTATAGCACTATTACCAAAAATGACTCTCATTTTTCCCCCACAACAAGGTGGAGAAGCCTTTACAAAACTCTCTTCCACCAATCCCTGGTGCGGCAGAGAATCGTCGTCCTTTAACACCCTCCAAGTGTAGGCAGAGAACATTCGTCTTTTCATACTCTCTAAGTGTAGACATAGTACATTCATCCTTTCACATCCTCCAAGTGTAGGCAGAGTACCTTCGTCTTTTCACACCCTCCAAGTGTAGGCAGTACCCTCGGCTGTTCACACTCTCCAAGTGTCGGCAAAGAATCGGATCTTCTTCAAAGATCTTCTTACCAACAATCTAGAAAGATAAGAAGAGTGAAAAACACAAATACACAGAGATCCTTACCTTTGAGTAACCTTGTGAACCCTTCACACTCTACTAGCAAGAAATCTCTCTCAGACACTCTCCTTCAATTGCCCTTGAAAAATCACAAAGCAAAAGATAGATTTTTTACATCAGTTCTTAATAGACCTTTTATACAAAAGACATGAAAAACTGTCCAGAAAACTGAATTTTTCAAATTTGAGCATACACGATCATACAATATGATCGAGTTTTGTACGTACGAACAGTTCAAATATTGTTGCGTACGAACCTGTTGTGAATCGATATGAAATCATTTCGTACCCCCTCATCGTCTGTACGAACGAAGTTCATCCGGGACGAACAATTAGAAAATTTCAAAATTCGTTTATACGAAACGTCGGGACGAAATGGGATCTCATATTTTCGTACTCTGGAAGGCATGTACGAACTGGGTTCATACAGTATGATCCATACTTAGAAAAATCATTTTTACGCGACTTTGAACCCGAGAAGATCGTACTTGTGAAAGCATGTACGAACTGGGTTTGTACTGTACGATCCATACTTAGAAAAATTATTTTTACGCGACATGGAACCCGAGATGTTCGTACTCGTGAAAGCCTATGCGAACTGGGATCGTCCCGTACAATCCATACTTAGAAAAAAAATTTTGTATGAGGACGGACCCGAGGCGTTCGTACTCGTTAAAGCATGTACGAACTGGGATCGTCCCGTACAATCTATACTTAGAAAATTTTTCATTTTTGTTCGTTCGACTGCTTGTTGGGGAAAATAACTGACCAAATCATCCCATACGAAGTAGTATCGTATAGTGCGATCAAATAAAAAAATTTGAATTTTAAACTCTGCTGGTGTGTGTGTGCTCAATTACTCAATTACAATCACACTCTATCAGACTCAATAAAATGGAAAATACAGACTTCAGTTATAATAAACTCTAAATTGATCTTGATTTAAAGTCTTCAACTATATGATTTCCCTGAAATATTAGTATACAAGAGCAAAACCATTCTTCCAAAATATGTTAGAAGAAATAATAATCAAATTAATAATATTTAGAATCATAAAAAACATACAAGTTGCAAGAATATTAAACATGCAAAACTAAGTAGCAACTATCTCAACAATCTTCTCATTTTTGATGATGGCATAATAATTATTGTTTGAATAAAATGAAAAATCCTAAATTTCTCCTTAACTCCCCCTAAATGAATAAGTATGTGAATATAAGAGAATTTCTATTAAGAAACAAAACAATTATTTTTTTTAAAATTTTTTTTATAAACTCACAAAACACTTCAAACAGAAAAAAAATAAAACAACTCTAACGAACACTAAAACGCAAAAATCAAATGCGACAAACAATATTTCTCCTTCTTTTTGGCAACAACAAAAAGGAAGAAGAAAAAAAAAAGAAATGTATGAAGTCATATGAGAAATCTTTGATAATTGATCTTGAAGAAACTGAATTATAATTGCAATAACAAGATTAATGTTCACTAGAGAAAAATAAGATTCATAATATTTAAATTAAAATATAACATAGATAAGATAAATATATCAAGGTCATAAAACAATCTAGACAATTAGATAAGGAGAATTATTGTAAAAATGATAAAATGAAGATTAATTAAAGTCAATTTCCAATACAAAATATAATTGAATATTAGATTGATTTGAAATTAAAAATTAAAAGATAGAGGAAAGAACATTATCAATACACTTATTTGGCGACATTGCACATCTTTTCAATTATTTGTGGCACACTTTGTACATCTTTTTGTATTTGGGTTAATTTGTATCTTTTTTTCAGTTTACGAATCATTTCGCATTCTTTCGATTTTTGTACACTTGTAAGTTTCTTAAAAAAAATTTAATTAATCTTTTCAAAATCAATAATCTAAAAACTCAAATTTCTCTAAGTACAAAGATAATAATATTGAAAAGAGAAATAAAAAATAATAAGACATCAAAATTGCAATAATAATATTAAAATTATGTATACCTAAAAAGAATATGAGATTGATAGCCTTAACTTGATCGAGTTATAAATTAACTTATATTTTTGAAAATTTAGATTTTCTAATAAATTAATTGTTGTATTGTTGTTCATATTATAACACTTTTTAAATCAATTAAGTCAGAATTATCATATATGCAAACTAACTTTTCAAACAAAGAATAAAAAATAACTAAACAAAATAAGATAATTTTTATTGATATCAATTTAAGAAGTGATACAATAAAGCACATTTGATATCAATACATCTATCTCAAATCAAGAAAAAATATAACAACATCAAAGATCTAAAACAAGACAAGTACAGAAAACACTAAACAAACACAAGTACTAAAACTATAGAAATCATCACATAACATATCTAAAGACTGGCAAAGACAACACACAAGAAGTACATCTATAAATCCGAGAGGCCCTGCTCTAGTGGCGATGGCTGGTTGATAGTCATAACTTGATCGAGTTATAAATTAACTTATATTTTTGAAAAATTAGATTTCCTAATAAATTAATTATTGTATTGATGTTCATATTATAACACTTTTTAGATCAATTAAGTCAGGATTATCATATATGCAAACTAACATTTCAAACAAATAATAAAAAATAACTAAACAAAATAAAACAAGTTTTATTGATATCGATTTAAGAAGTGATACAATAAAGCACATTTGATATCAATACATCTATCTCAAATAAAGAAAAAACATAACAACATCAAAGATCTAAAACAAGATAAGTACAGAAAACACTAAACAAGAACAAGTACTGAAACTATAAAAATCATCACATCACATATCTAAAGACTGGAAAAGACAACACACAAGAAGTACATCTATAAATCCGAGAGGTCCTGGTCTGGAGGCGGTGGCTGGTTGAAGATAGAAAAATAGTTATTTATCATAGTCACGTTGGTGTTCACCTAGTTGAACTGACCTCGAATCCAACCCATATCCTGCTGGTATTGTGCATCCTACTGATTAGATGAGTCTGAATTTGATTGAAATGTTGATCAAAATGACTCTCTAGTCGGTCAAAACGCTGGACCATCTCCTGAAAGTCATGTCCATGAGCAGGTGCAGGTGCAGGTGCTAGTGCTCGTGCAGGTGCTGGTGCTCCCCCTTCTCCCTCAGAATCCTATGATATTTTAACAGTGTGTCCCGTGTCTTCAATATTACATAATAATGTGAAATTTTACTTTAGGTTGTATATTAAAATTGTCCTGCTATTTCATTAACACGTATTGTATATTTGACTATCTGTCTTACACTTATGAGTTGAATATCTTATTCTTTAGAATAAATATCTTGTAAATTAGTTAGTAATAATAATACATATACTTCTCCTGACAGGAATTCTATCAAGAGGCCCTAACCTTTTTTTTTCCTTCTCTCTCACTTTTAAACTTTTTATGTTCATCAGTCTATAGATCTACAAAAATGAACAATAATCAATAGTGCTAATCTTGCTTTGTTTGTTTGTTTTTTTAATTTACTTGTAGTGCGTCATTTGTTCAAGTAACTGCAGAAGTAACTCATGGGATAAAGTATGTCTTCTACGTTAAACAAATAAATGCCGTTTGTTTGGTATTTTGGAATATATTGCTTGAACATCTAACAAGTGATGGTAAGAATTTTGCTTGCAGGATACGTTCCTCAATATAACATGAGATGGTATATTCAAGGGATGCTAGGAACATGAAACTCTTGTCACATATGCTATTTTTCACTGTAGTTATGTTGTTAATCGTTTTTAGGATGACAAAGTTCCAACATCAACAGACGGAGGTATAGCTCTGTTTGTGGAAGTATTACCCCTTTTCTTTTTAAACTCTTATCTGATTGCTATTGTTTTGTCATAATTTTCAGATGGAAAAAAAATCACGTCCTTTTGATTCACAGATGGTATGGATTAAAAAGTTGATCTTTTCTCTTCCACTTCAACATGATTAGTAATAGTTTATTCATAAGCTATTCACTTACGCTAATGCGTGCATCTTTTTTTTTTTTTTTTTCAGTTATTCATAAGTTTACTTATGTTTAATAGCTGTCAGCTTATGACTTTTCTAAGGTCATTATTATTTATCACTCATGCTTCTAATGTTTTATTATAACTCTACGTTAAGAACATGTGTATTTATTTGAAGGGTAGACTCATCATCTTCTTTGAACTTTCTACAGGAATCCTGGGAAGCTGATGAGACTTCAGCCAGGATAGGTTACTTACCTCATGGAATAATTAATCAAAATTCTGATATGGAATTAAAGCATCTTTGGATTAGGGGGACATCAGATCTGAAGGTTTGTATTCATTGTAGTATTTCCATATGTTGAAATTTCCTATTTTATTGCATTCCATTTACAAAATTCACAATTATAATCTTTTTGAATTTCTTGCTCAAAGACTTTCATCTCATGTTTTTCTCCTCGGTGATGTTGATTATGATTAGTTTTCCATTGCTAATAAGCTTTGCATTTATGGAGGCAAAACCCACAAATGCAACCCCAAGCTGGTTCTCTTGCTAGATTTTCTATGAAAAAAAATGTTTTAGTCAAATCTTTCAAAGTGGATCATATCTCAAATACTAATCATTGGTAGTTCTGTTTCAATATTATGAGTATTTCGTAGGAAGTCCTTTGTTTTTTTATCCATTATCTGATGCTAGGGACTGCTTTATAAAAAATGAAACAAAAAACATTATTATTTTACTTAATCAAACAAAATAATTAACACTATTTATCCACAATGACTGAAAATAATTCTTTTTATATCAGTTTGTACAAATGTTCTTACTAATATTGAAGTTGCCTTCACGCATTTTCCAATGCCGAGGATGTAGTCTTGGTGTTATATTAATTTTTGGCATACATATTTAGTGCAGAACTGGGGCTTGGTTTGCACTTCTTCGGGTGATGATTGTATATGTGTTTTTCATTTTGATAACCAAAGCCTGAATTCTTCTTTTTTAGGATGTTGGTCAAAATAATAGGAAGTTACTAGCAATATCTGTTGGCATAAATCAGAAGAGATATGTTGATGCCATTGTGACGAAGGTATTTATGAAATTAACACAATGCATGTTGGCCTTGAGCTTCAGCTAATCTTTGAGCCTTCAGTTTCTTCCAGAAAACTTTACAGTTATCCTATTCCACTATGACGGGAATGTTAATGGTTGGCAAGATTGCCCATGGAGTAGTGGAGCAATCCATATTAGTGCACAGAGCCAAACAAAATGGTGAGCATTCTTAGCGTGCAGCTTGTGAAGCTACCAGGTTTTATAAAGTTTTGGAACTTTCTTTTTTATTTAGTTTACTATGCTACTGTCTTAACTAGCTTTCTCTATCTTCATTTCTTGGTTGGCAATTTTTTTTCTTTGGCCTAGGATGCCTACAATGTTTTCTCCTTTTTAACATGGTTGTGAGGATTCTGCTCCTGTGATTTGTGGACTTAACACCACCTTTCACTGCATGGTAGGTGGTTTGCGAAGCGTTTCCTGCACCCAGATGTCGTCTCTATCTATGAATATATATTTCTTTGGGATGAAGATCTTGGCGTTGAGAATTTCCATCCAGGAAGGTGTGTATTGTGACTTAGCAACCTTTGAAAAACTTCCCTAATGTTGATAAAATAATTTCCATCTCCAATTGGGACTTTACTTGATTAGAATATGAAATTGCTTCAGGAATAAAAAAGCCTACAATGCTAAGGCATGTCAAGATGCTTATAGTTTTAAAGTAATAATAATGAGAAAAACACACATAGATGAGAAACCAAATACAAGAAATAAAATCACACAAAATTAATGTGATTCAATGATATGCATCTATATCCATAGCCACTTAGATGTCAAATAATCCCCTAAGTTTTCAAAGAGGTACATGGAGATATTAAATTTCATATAAAGTTGAAAATAATGATAAAGATACCACTTTGTCTATGTTAGTGGCATAGAGATTACACCCACCTGCTTCGAAGATAAAAGTTGGACATGGCGAAGAAGACATTTTTTATCCTTTTCTTTCTCTATTGAAAAAGTCCAAAAGAGAACTTCTCCCATTATAGTGGACTTCTCCTCTCAACACAACTGAAACCAACATCACATCCTTTTTTAAAAAAGTAGAAGACCTCTCTTCTATAAGTGCCATAAAACTCCTTGGCTTTTGTTCTCCGGATTGGCATCCGTCTTCCCCCATTCAATAAATGTTCTCTTCAAGAACTTTACAATAATACTAGATATTCAAAATATTTTTATAGCCCACAAAAATGAATTATAAAAAGATTTTCATTTAAAAATGAGATTCAAAATTTAGAAGATTTTCTTAATGAGAAGATTTGCTGTTCAATTCAAACAATCTCTTAACTAGAAGATGGAATTTTTCAATGTACTTATTTAGTAGTTGTGTTTGAATACTTATGTCTTTGACACCTCCTTTCATCAGTGTGGGCTCCGAAAATTCGGCCCCGGCCTCCACTCGCTTTTCTTATTCGGCGAGGGAGTTTTAACGAACTAAGTTCCGAGGTAAATTTTGGAAGGCAGATGGGTTTGTAGATAAGACACTACCCAGAGATTTCGCCCTCATTTTTTTTCTCTGGATATTGTTCATTGGTCAACAATCAGTTGCAAAGATTTTAAATGAATTATAAAAAGATTTTCATTTTAAAAACTTTTAATCTAAATCATCTCCTTGTTGGTTTGAGTAACTATTATTTCTTCTTTTTTTTCTGTTGATAACACTATTATTCTATTTGGTTGTAACACCTAGCAAGTTGTGATGCTGTTAGGGTGTAGATGCACCTCATAATACTTTTGTGTGTCTAGGTCTCTTAGATTTGCATCAACATAGTTTTGCAATTTTGGTTTAGTTTCCCTAAATTGTAATGAGTGATTTGTTGTGCTTCAAGTAGTGTAAGATCACTTTCACAACTTTCTAATATTTATTTCTTGGATTTGATGCATCGCCAAATGACAACTTCCATTGCATGAATAACATCGGGTGCTATGAAAACCATTGCGTGGCTGAGAACCAAATGTTGATGCCTAAGGGACTTTAACCATATAATCAATCTCTTCATCGATTTAGGGGTGTATAGTTGAGCTTGAATGAATTTTTTCTGTGCTCATGTTCGGTTCATTTGAATTTTCATATTTATTTTTTCAAAATGATTCATGTTTTGAAACTATCTTAAACATCATCTTCATTTTGAGCTTGTTCGAATTAGAGCCAAACATGACCGAATAAGGTTTTATTTGCGTTCGACTCGTTCAAAAAATGATCTCAATAACTATTTAATATCATCTCATTCACCTACCAAACAAGTTGAATGCAGTTGTTCACGAATGACTAGCTTTTTTAACAGCCTTGCATCTATCTTTGGTGATTGCTTCTTTGAGAGCTTAAAGTGACTGACAAGGAGGGTAGTTCGCTGACTTTTCTTTTATCATTTTGAACATATTGACACATGTTTAAAGCATTGAGATTGTGCTAGGTTTAGAATACCTGTAGCTTTGTTTTGGTTAATACTCATAGCCAAAATCCTCTTTACGTCCTCTAGATCTATTTTATCAAATTCCTTTGTCAAATGTTGCTTCAACTTATAGACTTTATCTTTGCCCTTTCAATCAACATGTCGTCAATATCTTATGAAAGCAAGATAATATAAACTTTTTCTAGTTTCTTTTATATAATAACAATCTCTTTATACCATTAGTGAGGAGATTGCTTTAAGCCTTATATTTTCATTTTCATTGAAGATAATGTTGTATGCCTTATAATAACAATCTCTTACTATTTAGATATTACCAATTAAGATACTTATATTTTCATTTCTCTCTATTTCATATATGTGGTATATTGTATCCCCAGCCAATATCATCAGAGGGTGTGTAACACCCCACAATATTCCTTACCAGTAATATAGAGTGTCACATAATAAACATAACATTCATTCTTTACTTCTATCATTCCTCATTAAATTCATATTTGAATAAAAACATCCAACTACAATTTTATTTATATAATAAACGGAAGCATCCAATTAATCCAAATTTCATAACATAAATATTTACAGAGCTACTAAAAAATCCAAAAGAGTATAACACTGAACAATCTACTTACCTTAAATATAGACTTATAAACAATGTTAAACAATAGAATATAAAGTGAAATAAACTTGAACCTATTATGCATCAAGTTTTCCCTTTCTTTTTTCCTGTAATAATAGCCGATATAAAATAGCTGGTGAGCTATGAGGCTCAATAGGTTATACAAATTAAATAACAGTTAAATTGCATGATTATAAAACTTACAATATTGAAATCATAAATGAATCAAACTTGTCATTATTTATAAAACAACATAAATCATATTTAAAATTATTCTTTACTTCCTTTGAAGTTTATATTGAATATCAATATTAATCTTCTAAAAATTTGGCTAAACTTTCATAAGAATGCTCAATGTAGCTCAGGTAAATTTGGCATTATCACAATTGAATAATATAATGGTTCTTTTTGCCTCTTTAGAAGTCCCTTTTGTCCCACTTGATATGCAAATATCATGTCTCTGGGTCCTTTTTGCCATACATGTAATACATGTATCATATATGGTATCCTTTTTGCCCCTAGGGTTCCTTTGTCCCACCTGTAATTACATGTATCATGCCATTTTTATAGCCATTCATTTCTAATTTTTTATATTCAATAGATTTCACGGCATAGTAATCATAGTTGACTTGTCATGTACAAAATTCCATAAGAATATATCTATTACTATGCTTACATACAAGGATGTATTGGCAATATTAATTTTAATGAGCTCTTTCCAAATTATTATCAACTAGAAAAATATTGAAAGAATCATAATAAATCTTATTTTAAAGTTCAATGTTATAGGTATGCAAGTGGTTGTTCATACATGAGAACTTGTATGTATACTCATTTTCATTATTAGAATCTTAATAATGTAATTATCATTATATATATATATATATATATAAAAAATTTCTATAAGATGGTGGTGAGACCTGCATGTTTTATGGACGAATGTTGGCCATTAAAAGAGAGCATAATTATAAGTTAAGTGTTGCAGAGATGAGGATGCTTAGGTGGATGAGTGGCTTGACCCTTAGAGATAGGATACGAAATGACATATACGTGAAAAGGTTGGAGTAGCTCCAATGGAAGTAAGATTAGAGAGAGTCGCCTTAGATGGTTTGGTCATATTAACGGAGGCCTTCCGATGATCGGTAGAGGTAGACTAAAAAGACTTGGTTAGAAAATATTATAAATGATTTTTCTTTATTAGATTTAATGAGAACTTGACTTTTAACCGGACATAATGGCAAAAAGGATTCATATAGCCGACCCACGTAGTGGGACAAAGGCTCGATGTTGTTGTTGTGTAAATAAATTTAAATTATTATAATAGAATTTTATTTTAGAAAAATAATAACAATTATATTATGATCCAATTTTTTTAACTTAAATTGATATAGTTGTATATATATATATTATTATATATATATATATATATATATATATATATATATATATATAATATATATATATATTATAAAAAAAGAGAGAGAGAGAGAGAGAGAGAGAGAGAGAGAGAGGGAAGAATAAATTTTATCATTATTAATTTTTATAAAAGTTTGAATAATATTAAATATTTAAATAAAAAAAGGAAAGAATTAAAGATATTTTCTTTAATAAAAAATGAGAGTAATTAGAGAGATATTTTTAGATATATAAGTCATGGTACTTACAAAGTTATATGTGCTCAATAATCTGAGTCGGAATAAGATTAAAAAGGGCAAAAGCC